TCCTCAGATACCTACTGATTATGAGACATTAAAGAGGTCTTGGTCGCAACTGCGAGAAGAACAGGATTCTTATCGAGAAAAGTTCAACGAGCAAGAGTTAAAGATTCAGAAACTGACAAAGCAGTTGGAGAATGAGCGAGCTCTGAATGACTACATCCGTACTGAGAAGAGGAGACCCTGGGATCAATGAGGAGCTCTGGATGTTCTTTTACAGTTTTATTTCCCTTTTTAGTATTTCCATTTTATGTAACGCCTAAGGGCAACCTGTTGAACAATTTAAGTTTCAAAGTTGAATCTAATGAAGTGTGTTCCTTTTTGTTTACAAAGTTGATTCCCGATTGTCTTTGAAAACATAAATCATACACATTCCATTCATCATGTGCATAGCATGTATTCTTCTTTTCAAGTTGCTTACTGTTCTTCGTTGTTTATTTCAGCATCATGAACCCTGACTCATCATCAACCGAGATGTCCATCAAGGCCCTTCAGGCGCAGAATGCGCAATTTCAGGAGCTGATCATGGGTTTGGCTCAAGGCCAAGAAGAGCTGAAGGCTTTACTCCCGAAGAAGGAGAAGAAGAAGAAGAAGAGAACTGTTCTTTTCAACTCGGGCCGAAGGTTTGGCAATACTCTGTAGAATGAGGAAGTTGGTTCTTCTATAGGCAAGAGCAGTCCCCAAGGGGGAAAAGGTCCTAGTCCGGTAGTCTCTGACAACGAGACTGACTTTAATGAGGAACAGTATCCTCCGGCTGAAGACAGATACAAGCAGTTGGAAGACAGACTGAATGCAATGGAGATCCAACAAGTGCCTGGGCTGGATTTCGGAGACTTGGGTTTGTCTACTGGTGTGATTGTTCCTCACAAGTTTAAGGCACCATCTTTCACCAAATATGACGGGGCGTCTTGTCCCAAGCTACACCTCAGATCTTACGTGCGGAAGATTCAACCGTACTCAGTGGACAAGAACTTGTGGATCCACTTCTTCCAGGAGAGTCTTTCAAGGACTCATCTCGAATGGTTCTATCAGTTGGATGGGACCAAGGTTCGTAACTGGGAGGAGTTGGCTATTGCTTTTTACAAGCAGTATCAATATAATTCCGACCTTGCTCCTACGCGTACCCAACTCTAGGGTATGTCGTTAGGATCAAGCGAAGGTTTTAAAGAGTATGCACAGAAGTGGAGGGATCTGGCTGGCAGGGTGCAGCCTCCGTTGACTGACCGGGAGTTGGTAGATATGTTCTTGGGGACCCTATCTGGGCCATTTTTCAATCATCTTATCGGTAACTCATATGTAGGGTTCACTGACCTTATTCTGACTGGAGAGAGAATAGAGGCTGGAATGAAGTCTGGTAAAATTCAGAAGGGTGCATCTGCAAGTTCTGAGAAAAAACCTTTTAAAAAGGAGGCCAGTGCCGTATATGGGCCTAGAAGGCAAGAGAAACCAGAGCGCCGCCAAGCTTTCAACGCGGTGATGATTGCTAAACCTGCTGCCGCTCCTCGGCAAACCAATCCGCAAAGGGCTGAAAGACCCAGAAGAGAGTTTACCCGGCTGAGTATGACCCTATCGCAAATCTTGCCGCAGTTGCTATCAGCCAATTTGGTGACTGTCAGAGAGGCCCCGAAGGTTGTGAATACTGCCTCCCCCAAATACAATCCAAATGCCCGCTGTGCTTATCACTCCGATAGCCCGGGGCATTCCACTGATGACTGTTGGGCTTTAAGGAATAAGGTGCAAGACCTTATTGACGCAAAGGAGATACAATTTGAAGCGCCTGAAAGGCCAAATGTGGTGACTGCTCCTATGCCCCAGCATGGAGTGAATTCCGTTGATAAAGACGTGTATGCCGTCTCTGTGAATGATGTAGCTACTCCCTTGGTGACTGTTAAGAGGAACCTACTGCTGGCCGGTTTATTTCCGGGTTGTAGCGAAGGTTGCCTTTTCTGTGCTGTTTCCCTTTCTGGTTGTCCTTTGCTGAAGTTGGGCATCCAAAGCCTGATGGACAGCAAAGAGATTCTGTTCAAGAAGATTGTTGTTCAGTTTGTTCCGGTGGAAGAAGTTTCTGTTGTTACGATCTTTAATAATCCGATCAAGGCTCTCCCAAGGAAGCCGGTTAAAATCATGACTGTCGCACCCATTGTGATTACTGTTCTGGGGCCTCTCCCCTATGAATCTGATAAGGCTGTCCCATGGCACTATGGGGCAGATGTATATGTCCATGGAATAAAGCAAGAGTTCAACACTGGCACCAGCATCAACAATATCACTGGTCCAGCCAAAGTTACCCGCAGTGGCAGGCTCTTCTCGCCTGACATTGCGCCACCTACTATTCAAAGACCTCTCACTATAACACCTGTAAGTGTACCTGTTCCCGTTTCGGATCAAGTTGCTTCCCCTGCTGCCGAGTCATCTAATGCTCGGGGCAAAGGGATTGAAGACGAGCCTGCCCGGATGGAGGCGCCAAAATCTGTGAATGCTGAGGCCTCCCAACAAGAGATGGAGGAAATTCTGAAAATAATCAAGAAGAGTGACTTTAATGTTGTCGAGCAGCTGAGGCATACACCCTCCAAAATCTCTATGCTCTCCTTACTACTGTGCTCAGAGGCCCATGCTAAGGCCCTGATTTCATTTCTCAAGACGGCCCATGTGCCACAGGAGACATCTGCAGTCCAGTTTACTGATTGCGTAGCCAATCTGACAACGGACAATGGTTTGGGTTTCTCGGATGCTGACCTTACTGCTAAGGGAAAGGACCACAATGACGCCCTGCATGTCTCTATTGAATGCAGGGGCACTACTCACTACAAGAAAATTAGTGTTTAACGACACAAAAATTGCGACAGTTATGTGATAACTGTCGTAATTGACATATAGAGACAGTGTTTACGACAGTTGACACCAACCGTCCCTAATATTTATTTTGCGACGGTATATTTAACCATCATAATATTATTATTATGACGGTAAAACAACCGTCGGCCCCCATTTAACACTTTTAACATTGATTTTTCACCAACAACTAGTCACGACGGTAAAATTAACCGTCCTAAAAGGCATATCACGACGGTAAAGCACCCGTCGCACCCTTAAACCTTTCACGACGGTAAAATTATCCGTCCTAAAATTCATTTCACGATGGTAAAACAACCGTCGCACCCAAAACCTTTAAAAATTCTCATGGGCACGACGGTAAAACACCCGTCGCCGTAAAAAAGTTAAAAAGCTCTTAAAAAGCTCTTATTCATTTCATTATTCTTGTTACAATTTTATTTTTACAGGGAACCCTTCATCTCTCTCCCGCGCAGCCTCTCACCCCCCAACCTTCAAACCCTAGCGTCATATCCTCTTCGCGACGACGGTGTACCCAGTTCTCCCTCAATCAAAACCCAACCACCAAAAACAAACAAAAAGCTAAAGATCTTACCCCTTTCGCGATTGCTTTATGACTTTCTGTCCGATTTGTTCTGATCTTCTTTCTCTCTTGCTTTGTAGATTCTGGCGAGTTCGAATGGAATAGCGGCGGCGAAGCTACGGTGATTAGCAATTAGGGTTTTAGATGTTTAAATCCTAATTGCTCTTTCTCTTTTCGTCTTCAACGACAACGCTGGTATCTCCTTCTTCGCGTTTTAGATGTTCTTATCCTATGTTGCAGTGAATCAGGCCATTACACTTATTTCAAGTGTATGTTGGTAGAAGAGTTAGTGGTGTAACTCCAAAAAAATTAAGTTTATACCCAGGTTGGTGGAACTCTGTTGCATTGGCCATCTAGCACCAGAAATTCTTAGTTATGTGAATATTTAATTGAAGAAGGAGCGGATGTAAATGATGTTGATAGAGCTGGTGAAACTCCTCTAATGAATGACATCCTTTGACATAACAAAGAGGTATGCTTATTCTACCCATATACATATGTTCATTAGTGCATCACTTTCCATCTTTTCTTTCATCTTATCACTTCTTCTACTATTCAATTTCAGAATCTAGGTTGAGTTATTAAGAACAAAATTTCTAAGATGGTTCTGAAATTCTATTTTACTGTTGTTCTAGATCTGACTCTGGTTTCGTCAGTTTATAGGTATTTTAGTTGACACCTAACAAATGAGCACATCTAATACCCTAAGTACCAATATCAGTAATTACACTCTTTTTGATAAAAATAGTTATAAGTTAGGAGAAATCTTCTATCTGATGATGGTAACTTACAGTGGATAATGGACTATTATATTTCCATATGGAATCACTAAATTGATTTGTATTTGGTTTTGATGAAATGCAGTAGTTTGATTTTACAGATAAATATAGAGGAAAACATGACAGCAACATCATAGTTGCACAAAAGTACTACATATCTATCAGTGGCTATAATGTAAGATTTTTTGGTTCAATGCAATTCTGGATCAATATAAAAAAAACTATACATTTGAAATTTGAAATGAATATTCGAATTATAATTGAATGCACATGATGAATTTCTATGTCCTGCTGCATGGTTGTATTAAGCATCTAACAACCAATATTACTTGGATTACCTTGGTAGAAATGGCGACTCCATGGGAGAAATTGGTTCGCAAATGACTTCCCTGAAATGCTTGAGCCTCATTGAACTCGGACAACAATCCTGCTTGTGCATTTTTTTCATCTTCCCCAGTTACATTACCACTTATGCATTGCACCTTCTTCTGAATCACTGTGTCGTCGTGAATATTAAAAGATAAGTGATTCTTCATAATCTCTATTTGATTCACAATATTTACACTGCAACTTGTCATGTCAATTGCTTTGAAACATGATGCCTGACTGTTATAAATAATTTATGATGCAGGTCAGTTCATTGGTTGATGGCATGTGCAACATAGCATGTGGTATGTTGGACTCCTTGCTCCATAATTCTGCCAAAATTGCCCTAATTGCTCCACAACACGCCACGTCTTATGTTTTCAACATGACATGTCTTATGTTTTCAAACTATCAACTACACCTCTTTTCTTTATCAAAATGTAAAGATGCATTTCAAAACAAAAACTTCTGCTGCCCTACTTGATATCAAGATTGATCGAGAAATATTGGATTCAGTTACAGTTGCCCTTAAAGAATGTTTGTTTCTTTCATATCAGAATATGCAGAATATTATTCTATTGTTTTCTATTGCTGTGAGTTTTTAAACTTCCAATGTTAATTTATTTGTTCTAAAACAAATTATACAGATTTTCGCAATGACGTCTCATTAGTCTTGTTGTTGGATTGGTACTGCTGCTATTGGCTCCTATTATTAGCAGTTGGGTTTCGTTTTATTATAATAGTTCAATGACCATATGAATCTTTCTTGTGCTTACAATATTTTTTAATGTATATTACATCATCTTATATTTCATTTATTTGCATCAGGCTCTACGTTTGGAGTAACTCGACGTCGATTTCGGATTTATGTACATGCTATTATTCTATTTACATATTATTATTCTATTTGCAGGTTCAGCATCTGATTGCAGAAGTCAGTGAAATTATGACTAATGATACTGTAGATAAGGCTGGTTTATGGAAAAACAAACTCATTGATCAGTCATTGGAGCTTTTAGATTATTTACCTCAAGCAATTCAAGACATTTGCTTCTTGAAAGAGATCCACATGGAAATGTTCAAGTACCTAAAGTTGCATATCATTATATTTTGTGTTCATTTGTCTTCTTTATCCAATTTTGAATCAGTATCATTTTCTACCATGACAATTTGAGAGTTTTCTTGTACATGCCAGGGTTTACTTTAATAAAATACAATGCTTCTATTTTGAGGAGCAGCAACTAATTCTTGGAGAGCAGATTGATATGCCATTAAGTAGTTTTCTCAGTCTGAACTCAAGTATTCAATAATATTCCTGCCATATTTAGTTTGTAATATATTATTGACATTATCTTTATCTTCTACATAAAGGTATGGGAAAAGGAGCCATATCCAGTAGCGGGGACAACAACCGGGATGCATATTTGAATATGTCGATTGCAGTTCTTGCTACCCTTTGTCGTGTTCCAGAGATTATATCCTCTGAAGACTTGATTTCCAAGATCCCAGTGATATTGGAAGTAATTTCCACCCAGTATAATGTTTTTCTTTTCTTTCGCATTACTTATTCTAATTTCCACTATCGCTGTGTCAACGAGTCTCTCAGCCCCTACACATTTTGTTCGCTATTCTCACAGTCAACTATAGTATTTCCTTTCTTAACTGATCCGTTAAACCAAACCTGCTTTACATGTACCTCAGGAACCAAACATGTTCTTTTCAAAGAGAAAAGGGAACGAGAAGGAAATTCTAATCGCTTCTTTTCAGGTTCTCATCTTAAAATGTTGTTTAATCTTCTATAGTTGCTTAATTGTTCATTTATTCGGTTATTTGACGAATCTTATCGTAGGTTGTGAGGAAAATTCAGTTGCAAATTCATGAATTTGATTCTTCTTCGAATAAAGAGGACTTGCACGGTTCAGAGAAGCACTGTTGCATCCATCAATGTCTACCAAAAATTGTGACTAAAATAGTAAGTGTCAGAACCAACAATTCATTGGCATTCTTTCTGTTATTTGTATTTTCTATGTTGTAGGTGAATTTGTTAGCTGTTGAAATTTGTTCAACATGTTGCGATTAATAATTACTTTCATTCTACATGCTGTGATACCTAGACAAATATTATTGAGTCAATACGAATTTAGGAAATTATAGACATTTTATTAGTAAGCTCATGCTGCCCTGTTATGAAAAAAGTTGGTATTGACTCAAATCGACCTCAAGTCATTTTTGTCATTAAAGATGTAGGGATTTTGTAACATCTGTTGACTCTTTGTTTCTTTTGTTAATATTTCCTTTATTCTCTAATGATTGTATTTCTAATTCATGTTGACTTGTGCAACCAATCATCTATTGTGTCATTTTCATCTCAATGACACCAAGTTTACATTATTTTTTGTTGTTTGACTGAATTTCATATTAATTTATACCTTGACACTCATTGCATGGGTTGATCTGGGTAAACTTGCAAGTTGTATTGATAGATGTAGAATTGATAAAAGTTGTATTGTAGTTATCAAGACTATGTAAGATTTTATCTTCCACAGGTAAAATAGAGCTCTTTTCCTGTGACTTTTATTTAGAACAGGTATTTGAATTTACATTGATCATTATCAACATAACATGTATTGCACATGTAGTTTACAAATGTTTCCAAAAAACTGAACATGTCAGCTTTACTAGGTGGCATGGAATCATTGGAAGACTAGTTCAAAAGAAGATAACTGGGCTATATGGAACTGAATTTCTTGTTTTTTCAGCATGCTTTTCACTCAACAATACAATGCCGAAAAAAGGTAATAGTATTATTCTTGAACTTCTCACAACAGTCATAGAACCTTATAAACAAGATGCAAAAAGATGCTAATGCGTTTGTTTTTTGCAGGACAACCTTTGATCATTAGCAATAACGGAGCAAGTGGCGTTTATCCAGGTTCTACCAATCTTGCTTATCAACAAGCAATAGACGATGGAGCTGACATTATAGATTGCTCGGTTCAAATGACAAAAGATGGAATTTCATTCTGCTCAAATACAGCAGACCTAATGGCAGATACAACTGCTATGACTAAATTCATGTCGCGGACTTCCAATGTTCCAGAAATTCAACCAAATAGTGGAATTTTCTCCTTCGATCTCACGTGGAACGAGATCCAAAGCTTGCAACGTAATGCTTCCGTTTGACTTCAAAAATTCATGAAGAATGGTGGATAGCAACGTAATGATTATGGAACTCGCATTTTACATGATTATGGAACACACATTTTTTTGGATATTATAATGCTTATTTGATGTTAAATATTTTTTATTGAAATTATTTTTACTATATTACAAAGTGATAGAAAATAAAACAAAAAATAATACTATAAATAAATATATTAAAGAAGAAATAATTTAAAGAAAAAAATAACACAAAAAAAAAACTATATTTAAATTTTTTACATAGATAATAATTTAAATAAAAAATATATATAATAGAAAAATAAAAAAAAAATCAAGACATAAACAAAAGTCATGGCGACAGTACCGAACCGTCGTAATCAACAATTAAAAATAATCAAAAAAAGTCATGACGGTATCGAACCGTCGCCATAAACAATTTAATCAATTTCAAAAGATATTCACGACAGTATCGAACCGTCGCCATCAATAATTAAAAGAAACTCAAAAGATAGTCACGACGGTATCAACCCGTCGTAAACTTGAACGACAGTTTTTGTAACCGTCGCGAAATAGGTTGGGGACACACACTTCTGCGACGGTAAAGCAACCGTCGTGGAAAGCAAATTGCGACGGTTTTAACCGTCGTAATCTACAAAAATACCTGTCGCAATCTGCCAATTTTCTTGTAGTGACTCTTGCGCACGTGTTGGTGGACACTGGTTCTTCCCTGAATGTGCTACCCAAGAAGGCCTTAGACCGTTTGGATTGTGAGGGTCTGGAGCTGAAACCTAGCAACATCATCGTCAGAGCCTTTGACGGTTCTAAGAGGATGGTTCATGGAGAGGTAGACATTCCTATTCTTGTGGGTTCTCAAGTATTCGACTCTACTTTCTATATGATGGATATCCGTCCATCGTATTCTTGTCTACTGGGTCGACCTTGGATCCACAAAGCTGGGGCAGTGACCTCTACCCTACACCAGAAGCTCAAGTACCCTGTCAGAGGGAAGATTGTCACTGTGCAGGGAGAGGAGGAGTATATGGTTAGTCATTTGAATTCCTTCAGGTATATTGAGATGGATGGGGAGTTTATTGAAACCCCCATTCAGCATTTTGAAGAGGTACCTCCAACATTGGCAGCAGCAGAAACAGTGGTTGAAGAGGACTTTCCATTGAAGATGGCTTCCTTGAAGGATGCCCGGGCTGTAATCAAGAAAGGTGAATGTGCTAACTGGGGCAGGCTCCCTGATTTTACACCTAAAACTGACAAGTTTGGGCTGGGTTTTACTGCAGAGGGTCAGAAGGCTGTGCGCAAGGCAAAGACCAGAAGACCTCTTGTGCTCATTACCAACCCAGGAGTGAATGCTATTGGGGATGAAGATGAGGTGGAAGAGTCAGAGTTTGAAAGCTGGATCTACCCGACGACTGACGGTGGATTGACCAATTGGATTGTAAAAGACGACCTTCCTGTTACTTTTGTTACGGAGTAATGAATTCCTTTGATTTTGTTATTTGTAATAAACAATGAATTAAAACTCTATGGTCCGGTGTCCTACCCGGGGCACCGTGGCTTCATTTCTGAGGGCATATTAATTGTCATTTCATATATCATGAATAAAGACCTTGGACGTTTTCTCGCATTTCAAATCTTATGCTCCTTTTCTTTCTTTCCTTTCTTTATATATTGCAAAACAGCTGTATTTACACACACTCACTCATACAAGTTTCAATCCACTCTGGATCTCACTGGTAACGACTCTGCTACTGCCAGTTATGACTTCGAAAATCCGATCAACTTAGCCGAAGACGAAGGTGAAGATGATTGCGAAGTGCCTGGCGAGCTTGCAAGACTGTTACTCCAGGAAGAGAGGGCAATTCAACCACATGAAGAGCCAGTGGAAACAATAAATCTGGGTACCGAGACGGACAGGAAGGAGGTTAAGATTGGTGCCAACCTAGAGCTCAGCGTGAAGCAACGGTTGACTCAGATGCTACATGATTACATGGAAATCTTTGCCTGGTCCTACGAAGACATGCCTGGGTTGGATACCGACATTGTGGTCCATCATCTGCCTACCAAGGAAGACTGCCCTCCGGTTAAGCAAAAGGTCCGCCGTATGCGTCCAGAGATGTCTGAGAAGATCAAAGCCGAGGTTATGAAACAGTTTGATGCCGGTTTCCTTGCAGTGACTTCTTATCCTCAGTGGGTTACTAATGTGGTGCCAGTACCGAAGAAAGACGGTAAGGTCAGAATGTGTGTTGACTACAGGGATCTGAATAGGGCCAGCCCCAAGGATGACTTCCCCTACCTCACATTGATGTCCTTGTTGACAATACTGCTCAGCATAAGGTGTTTTCTTTCATGGACGGTTTCTCAGGGTATAATCAGATCAAGATGGCTCCTGAAGACATGGAAAAGACTACCTTTATTACTCAGTGGGGCACCTTCTGTTACAAGGTCATGCCTTTTGGACTGAAGAATGCTGGGGCAACCTACCAACGTGCCATGGTTGCTTTATTTCATGACATGATCCATCATGAGATAGAAGTGTATGTTGACGACATGATCGCAAGGTCCCAGACTGAGGAAGAACACCTAGATCATCTGCAGAAATTGTTTGACCGTCTGAAGTTGTACAAGCTGAGGTTGAACCCGAACAAGTGCACCTTCGGGGTTAGATCTGGAAACTTGTTAGGCTTCGTTGTAAGTGATAAGGGTATTCAAGTGGACCCTGCCAAGGTTAAGGCCATTCAAGAGATGCCAGTTCCTAAGACAGAGAAAGAGGTCAGAGGCTTTTTAGGGTGCCTGAATTACATTGCTCGATTCATCTCGCATCTAACTGCCACCTGTGAACCAATCTTCAAGCTGCTGAAGAAAGATCAGGTAGTACGTTGGAATGATGAATGTCAGGCTGCTTTTGACAGAATCAAAGAGTATCTCCAAGAACCACCCATCCTTATGCCACCGGTTGAAGGGAGACCTCTGATATTATACCTGACAGTACTCGACAACTCAATGGGGTGTGTGCTGGGGTAGCATGACGAGTCTGGTCGAAAAGAGCATGCCATTTATTACCTTAGCAAAAAGTTTACCGACTGTGAGACCCGATACTCACTGCTTGAGAAAACTTGCTGCGCTTTGGTATGGGCTGCTCGCCGGCTGAGACAGTATATGCTGACTCACACTACCTTGTTGATCTCAAAGATGGATCCCATAAAGTACATATTTGAAAAGCCTGCTCTGTCTGGGAGAATAGCAAGATGGCAAATGATCTTGACAGAATACGACATCCAGTACACGACCCAGAAAGCCATCAAAGGAAGTGTATTGGCAGACCACTTGGCACATCAGGCAGTAGACGACTATCAGTCAATGAACTTCGAGTTTCCAGACGAGAGCATCATGATAGTGACTGATTGTGAAGTACCTGGACCGGATGAAGGACCTGAGGAAGGATCCCGATGGTCTATGCACTTTGACGGAGCCTCCAACGCTTTGGGTAACGGTATCGGCACTGTGATCATATCCCCTCAAGGAACTCATACTCCACTTACTGCCCGCCTATGTTTCAACTGCACCAACAATATGGCGGAGTATGAGGCATGCATCATGGGTCTTCAAGCTGCGATCGACCTAAGGATCAAGTATCTGAGTGTCTTCGGAGATTCTGCTCTCGTGATCAATCAGATCAAAGGAGAGTGGGATACGAAACATCCGAATCTTATCCCTTACAGAGAATGTGTGTTGACATTGATCCCCCACTTCACAGAGATAACCTTTGAACACTTTCCGAGAGAGGAGAATCAGTTAGCGGACGCGTTAGCTACGATGTCTTCTATGTTCAAGGTCAAATGGGACAATGAGGCTCCCCAGATCATTATCTATAAACTGGACGAACCGGCATACTGTTGTGATCTTGAGACTGAATTGGTAACTGAGAAGCCTTGGTACCATGAGGTGAAGAGATACTTGGAAGCTCAGGAATACCCTGAAGGTGCATCTGTCAACGATAAGAAGTTTCTGAGAAGGTTCGCAGCGAAGTTCTTCCTTAGCAACGGCATCCTGTATAAGTGAAACCATGATTCGACCTTACTGCGTTGTGTGGATAAAACTGAAGCAGAAAGGATCATGGAAGAGCTACATGAAGGGACCTTTGGAACACATTCCAGTGGACACACTATGGAAAAGAAAATCCTTCGGGCAGGGTATTTCTGGTCCACAATGGAAGCCGACTGCTACCAACACTCTCGGACATGCCATAAATGCCAGATATATGCAGACAAGGTGCATGTTCCTCCAGTTCCTCTAATTGTCCTAACTGCACCTTGGCCTTTTGCAATGTGGGGCATAGATATGATCGGCGAGATTAAACCTACGGCATCCAACGGGCATCGCTTCATCCTGGTAGCGATTGATTACTTCACGAAGTGGGTTGAAGCAGCTTCCTATGCCACAGTAACCAAGAATGTTGTAGCATGGTTCATTCGGCACAACCTGATCTGTCGATACGGCGTCCCAGAAAGAATCATTACTGAAAACTGTACCAATATTAATAACAAGATGATCACTGAGCTCTGCGAGCAGTTTAAGATACAGCACCACAACTCTTCTCCTTACAAACCGAAGATGAATGGGGCTGTAGAAGCGGCAAATAAGAACATTAAGAAAATCGTGCAGAAGATGACAGTGACTTATAAAGATTGGCACGAGATGTTACCGTTTGCTCTACATGGGTACCGTACCTCAGCCAGGACGTCAACCGGGGCAACTCCTTTCTCCTTGGTCTACGGTATGGAGGTAGTCTTACCGATCGAAGTACATATACCCTCTCTCCGGATAATGAAGGATGCAGATCTGAACGAAAATGATTGGATCCAGACACGACTTGATCAGCTAAACTTAACTGACGAAAAAAGACTTGTTGCTATCTGTCATGGTCAGACGTATCAGAAACGGATGATCAGGGCATTTAACAAAAAGGTCAGACCACAAGAATATCAAGTTGGGGATCTGGTAATCAA